TGAGTTTTCCAACTAAAATGAAGATTACATCCAAGATTCAGGGAGGTCAAAGCCCTTGGAAGTTGGGTGCAAATATATAGGAAAATAATATTATCGGGCGTAGAATTGGAGATTTTAGAGTGACAGACTAAAATCCCCAATTCGGTCCTATCGTTTGGGTGCTGAAGTGTAGATGTTAGCCCTCAAGCGAGGGGAACGTGGGAGCTCTGAAGTGAGAGTCGGTATCCTCCCAACCTAGCCGCAGATTTAGTAAATAAGCGTAGGATTAATCAATGTTCTTTATGCATGGACCAAAGGGTAAAGAAAAGGTATGCTCCTATTTGGCACAATGTAATTTGAACTGATTCACTTTATCCATTCACTAAATAGGATAGTGGTGAGCGATCTTTTAATGAGGTTAAGGAGTTTAAAATCTTTAAATCTTTATTTTAATCTCTTTATTTTAATACTAGATATGATTTTTTTTTTTAGTGGAGTGCTCCCTCACCAAGCTTTTCGCTCAAGATAACATTTTCAAGGTAAGTTCACATAGAGTATATTAGTTAGGATTTATAGTGGGGCTTAGTGATTAGATTTTATGCTAGTGTCATAGATTGTAATAAATATATGTGATAAACCAGCTATTAATATAAATTAAATAATTCAAAAAAAGATTTTAAGGCTAGTGTATACATAAATTATTACTAGTGCCATAAATTAGAATAGTATATATTGTTTAGAATTTTAGGTTGATTTTGATGGATACTTTGAGGAAGTGGTTTAAGCTTAGATAAATGGTTAGAAGTGCCCACGGATGATTCATTTAGGACTTGTAATTTTGATTAGGAGATGACGGTTGGATATGAGTAAATTTACATAGGTATTGGGAGATTAAGGTGTTTTAAAAGCTTTAAATCTCTATTTTAATATTTAAAAAATTTCTTGGGAGTTTGTGGGGGAGTGATGAGGGATTTGTGGGGTTATAGGGATAGAATTACCAAGACTAGTATATAATGGGCTATAACTTTAGGTTGATTTTGAAGAATACTTTAAGTGGTTTAAGATTAGATAAATAGCTAGAAATGACCATGGATGATTCATTTAGGTTGTGTACTTAGATCTGGAGATGATGGTTGGGTATGAGTAAATTTACAAGTGTTGTGGAATAGAGAGCAAAATACGTCTTAGTGTTATCTTGCTAGTCAAGATATAAGAGAAGGCATTTGAAAGTTGGGAGGATTTGTTGCTAGTGTGTTGTTCTTAATAGATGATTGGAATGTGGAGGAAGATTGACAAAGAGTTCATAACAGGCATTATGAAAGCAAAGTAAATAATTTCAAGAAAAAAATGATAAATATTTATTCTCACCTAAGAAGACATCAAGTGCCCAACTAAAAAGAGCAAAATTTTAATAATTAAGAAAAAAATTATTACAAACTAGTCCTATTTATAGAGCATTCATTAAGTAAGATTTAAAAAAAATAGAAGAGAAAAACTTTGAGGGGAATGCTAATGGAGAAATGCATCAACTATCTTTCTAAATAATTTTTATTATAGTCAGCCAATAAAGTTTCTAAATTTGAAATTTTATAGCTTTTAAAAACTCATTTTAAAATATAAATAATAAGAAAACAAATTCAATCATTTTTTTATTGGACTCTTAAAATAGGCCTTGATTTGACTGCGAATTAAGCACTTTTATGGGCTCTTGCTTGGGTTCTTATAAATAGATATTTGACTTTATTTACTTAATCCATATGATGTGCTACAACACTAATGCTTAATAAATTTAATTTTGGAAATCTTTTTGTTGTCTTTTGTGTAACGGTAGACATCTTGAAAAGTTTTTAATTAATTACATAGATGGTGTTTGTGCAATGGTATATATCCAAAAAATATCTTAATTATTTACAAAGAGGGTGTTGAATTCATATTTATCTGTGGACAATGGTTGGATTTAATTGATAAGATTTATTAAGAAATAAGAGAAGGAAAGACAAAATGAAAAATTAAATTGAGAAAACTGTAATTTATTATCATGGTAAAGAATTGAGGCCTAGATAAGAATTTGTTTGTTAGCCCTGCTTTTATGACAACTTTTGTATGGTGGACATAGAAACTTATCACTGCAAGAAAGTTTTATGTAAATGAATAAATTACAAGATATAATATAACAAAATCTTACATAAAATAAGTATTAACCAAGTATTACTCTTTATATTAATTACATAGATTTGCATTAGTAAATTTAAAATAATGGGTGGATCTCAATGAAGTCATTAAATATCTTCAATTAGGTTGGCTGGTTCAGGTGAGTACCATCAGATATTTGAGCAACTTCAATTTTCGGTGGGTTTAAGAGATGATTTGAACTCTCCTTAGGATGACTTTGATTCATATACATGTTGAAGCCTCGCTTAAATTATTCTAATCCTTATATGATACGAACCTGCACTTCGATGACTTTAGTTCTTGCATAGTTTTAAATCTCCTTTGGATGAATTTGATTGAAAAATGAGTTAAATCTCTTGGATAACTTATATATTTGGATGAGTTGAACATTCCTTAAGATGACCTCAAACTAATGAAAATTTTAAGGGCAAATTTTGACTTGTCTATCTTATCTACCTGATAGTGGTTGAACATTAGCAATAAAGATACAGGACATAAATTTAGACTACTTGTTTAATGGAACCTCTATAAATAACTTCTGAATAAATGTCTCCAATTAGGGATGAGAACTAGTCGAGTTGAGCTCAAGTCATGCCTATCTCAAGTTCAATTTGCTTACCAAAATGTGAGCTCAACCTTGAGCTTGGCTCGCAATAATAAAAACTAACTCAGAGTCAATTTATAGAGGAAGATGTCACGAGAGCTTATAAGAGAAGGCATCCACGTGACTAGTAGATAGAGAAAAGAAAAAAGTACCTCGAGACATTGCCATAAAAGACAACAATGCGAGCACTAAACTTAAGCTTGAGCTAGCTGCTCGATGAGATTGACTCACAAGCTCCTTGAAGTCGAGTTCAAGCTAATGGGCTCGACTCACTAACACCCATATCCCGAGTACTTGGTATTATTCGTCTGAAATAATTCATAATTTTCTATTTTATTCCTGGATATGCAAAGGTAAACATCATGCTTAATTTGGATGTCTTTAATTTTACAAAATTATTTTTACAATTGGTGATAGATTTGTCATTTATGACTTATTTTGTACTACTAGTTCTTACAGATTTTTTTGCTTTTGTTCCTTGTTTCTTCATTATATTAAAATTCATTCTTGTTAAAATATATTTATTAATTGATTTACTTAAATGATTTATTCAATTATTTATTATTTAAAATCTATAAAATTATTTATTGTACTCGTTTTAGCTCGTTTATAATTGTACCAAGTAAAATCCAATCTATGATTTTATATTGGTAACTTTAGCTATTTTAAATTTATTATTTCTCTTCTCCGATTTTAATAGAATATTAAGAAATTTTTTATTTACTCTTGGTGGAACTTTTGAATTTTATCTTGGTGATGAGATTGAATGTGATTTGTTTAGAGGACAGCATCCATTACCAGAAGAAACAAAATAAAAAAATAATTAAAAAAAAAAAAACAGTCGCGTCTATGGTATTTAAATTACCATGCAGTGAGAAGCTAAGATGTCTTAGGGAAGCATAAAAGCAGACGAATGCATAAGGCCAGTGATAAGAAGGCTTAAAATTTGATTTTTCCATAAACAACTGATGTGACCCAAATATTGCAACATGATCAATTTAGAAAAAAAAAATTAATAAAATAAATAAATAAAGCCTTTTTAGAACAAAATCTGCAGTGCATCATGTCCTAGATCCCTCATAAGCCTAAATATCCCAAGAACTCCCCATCAGCCATCATTCCAAGCCCAAAGCTTTTCTCATCCTGCCAATGAATAGATCCCTCGACCTGAACATACCTGGAACGAAACCAGAAACAGTGATGAAGGAGTACTGAACCAACGCATCTCTCCTTCCCAAGGAAATCCAGGCCTGTGGATGTGCAGGCTTGTACCTGACCAGCTTGCACCCGTCAACTCCCTTCACAAGCATCTTCAAATTCTTGGCAACAATCACGGCATGCCTTTGGGCAGTCAATCCTTGTTTGAGCTCCTGTTCACCACATCACAAATGTTCTGTCATCTTTGAAATAGAACTGTGCAGAAATAAAATTTAGCACCACTGCATGATTAGGTGTATACTAATCATTTTCTGTCAATTTCTTTTTTTTTATAAGACTTTTCGCAAGATGTTTTAATTATGTTATAATATACAACATAATGCACCATATATTGCAGAGAAGCATTTAACAATTTTTAGAACTCCAACCCATGATATTCAAGCCACAGATCAAATTGCATCAAAACTTAGGCTATGGGGGAGTCTAAATTTTGTATTATTCTTCGGAATAATACATAATGACGAGACTTCTTTAAGAACAAAATCTGCAGCGCATTATGCATTATAATTGAGCAAGCAATATGTTGGTGAGTTCAATGGATTGACGATTTTGATAATAAAAGATAGTTATTCAACTCATTACATACATTATCTAACACCAACTTCAACTTTGATTATGGCGGCCAAAAATCACATACAATTTATTTCTCTTTTCAATTTAATTAACAATCTAATTAATATTGTTAAGAACAGATATTTTATGAGAGAAACAATTCATTACACTATAGCTACAAAATGAAGAATTAATGATTGGTATAGAGTTGAACCGAGAAATTTCTCTTCAATGACCTAACTTTATATGTTGGGGGTTCACACTATTGGTCATTCATTAATCCTCATTTGTTATTTCAAAATGTTGTTAAGGTTCTTTAATAATAATAAATGGTTCAAGTATAGAGAAAAAATTTGAAGTAATTCTAGATTCTGTGTAGTGCTTTGATTTTATTTTTTATTTGCATTTGAAAATCAGTATATTGGGCATCACAAATAAACTAGCTCAAGTATTATATAAATAAACTTTTATATTATAGATCTCATGACTTTGGTGAAAGTTTCAAAATAAATACTTCAGATAATGAGAGATAATGGATTGACATCTTTAATTGAGATATTAACTCATTATGTTTAAGAAATAATATAGTTATTCCAAATATGTATGAGATATTTATACGTGTTGTTGAATTCGTATCTATCATGTAAATCAAACCACAAGGAATAAAGTGTAAAATAGAAGAGAAATAAAGAGAGAGAGAGAGAGAGAGAGAGCACAGTAATTAACCCTTTTTTTGTGAAATGACCCCCATATATATAGGTAAATAGGTATAAAGTGCACAATTACATGCTTGCCCCAACTTTTATGGGGGCGTTATAGGCCTTTCACTAAATTGAATTCGAATTTCTCTTATGAATCACACTTTTACGGGGGCATTTCAGGGTATTTTATGTATAAAAAAATGAGCCTATGACTCGACTACCCTATTACTCGACCGACTAAGGTTTACAGTCTTTGGATCGAGAAGGCCTGTTCGCTGACTTTGGTGAGCCTGGGAAACAAGTTAGCTCTGGAAGTCATTCGGTTGTTTGGAGTTCGTTTGATCAGTTGTTTCAATTCGGCTGTAACCTGTTTACCCCTGGATGGGAAACTCATGTTGCTGGGATGAAATTATATTGTTAGACAAAGAATGAATAACTATAATCCGACAAGTAGTCTACATGTTTGATAGGAGATCCATCTAGAGTGTTCAGTGATGGCAGCCTTAGTCCTCTTGAATAGCCTTGGAGACTCCTGCGAGGCGATTGGTAATATTTGGAGGAGAGTTGGATTAGTTCCTTATCAATTCGGTGGATCTCGATCTTTGACTTGGGCGGCCTTCTTTCGGTCGGCTCTGAGTCTTGCTCCAATAGAATTTTAGCTACTTGACTAAATCTTTTGGTCTTCTGCTGACATGGTTCGATCTCCTTTTGGTAAGTCATTCTCGACCATACTTTTGTCTTTTAATCTATCGAATTTTCTTGAGATTCATGGTAATGCATTTATGACACACAATTAGTTATCTGATTTTCCTACTTTTTTAAATTCATGTTAATATAAGAAAAAGAGAATTTAATGCAAAAAGTAGCTTCATTTATTTTTCGTATTTAGTACTTCAATAATTTAACTCCTTGAATTTTTGTGTTGATAACTCCTTGAATTTTTGTGTTGATGACCCTAAAAGATGATGTAACAATGCACCCTGAATACGATGAAATGACAAACTTCAATTATGGTATGACAATGCATGCACCTTTCATAGAGTGCAATGATGCCTCCAGAAGACGTAATAATGTACTCTGAAGAAAGTGACTTTCTTCGAACTCCTAAAATTCTCTCCTTATAGCTCACCACTATGACTTCTATGGTTTACATCTTGTACAGCTCTCGACTCTGGTCTCTGCAGCCTATGGACGTCATCACAACTTACTAATATGGCTTGCGTGACTAACTACGACCTACATGACTCACAGCTCATGCAGCTCCCAACTCCGGCTCTTGCGACCTACGAACATCATCACAGCTCAAAACTATAGAATATGTGGCTTACAACTCGTGCAACTCTAGACTGCAATCTTTACAGCCAAAGAATGTCATCACAACTCACCACTACAATCTACTTACCAGTTATGAACTACGTTGCTCATTGCTCGTGTAACTTCCGGCTTCAACCTCTGCAACCCACGACCGTCATCACTACTTTCAACGTCACCAACTATAGTTTGCATGATCCACAACTCATGAAGCTCTCAAATCTAACCCCTATGGCTTATAAACGTTATCACAACTCACCAATATGACTTATGTGATCAACTATGACAGACGAGGTCCACAGCTCATGTGGCTCCCAACTCCAGCCTCTGTGGTCTACATACAACATCACATGTCACAACTACAACCTATGTGACTAACTATAGCATATGTGGCTCACAAATCTTGCATCTTCTGTTCCCAACCGACCCTCCTAAAATAATCATCTACAACCCACACGACCAACCACTACCATGACTTTCAACTACAACCTATAGAACAAGCTGGTGCTACATCAACCATCTACAATAATTACAACGAACTTCTGTATCCATGACAAACGACTAAAACCCTCACAACCCCCTAGCATTGAGAACACATTCATTAAAGCTAGAGTATGTCTATTAACGATGAAGTACTCTTGTACATTTATAATAATCAATTTTGCAACTGTGTTTTCCCTAATTCAGGATAGGAGTAGACATATGCACTTCACCATTTATAGTGGATTGTTTCAATTAGGTTGGGCCCCACGATCATTTATCTTTTTCATGATTTTCCACTTAAAAAGTCAAAATGTCTCCTACAACTTCTATTTAAATACTTGAGTGTGTGTTTGGTTTTCATGCAATGCTAAGATGATAATTCATCATTTCACCATTGCAAACCTTCTGACACGGATCGAAAATTAATATCAACTTAAATTAATTATACACAAATTAACTTTTCGCGTCATTAAGAAAGGTAAAGTTGTTTGGTTGTTTCTTTTTGAAATGCAAAGAAATTACAAATATTTTTGAAAGATTTATATACATAACACAATTTGATTTCTTTATTTATAACATTAACATCTTTCATATACCATAAAAAATATTACAATCATAATTTAACAAAAAATGAAATACAACTTTTTCATGTGGAACTATGTGGTATGTAATAATATAAATATAAAAATAATTAGATGTTAGATATGTAAATACATAGGAACTATGTGGTATGTAAACAAGTACATCATAAAGAAAAATAAGGCCCATGCATGACAATACCACACTTTATAATCACCTATTATGTGAGCTAAATTGCTCATATAACTTCTTTTGGCTTGCCAACTAAACTGTATTTCAATAATCACAAATTATATTGAAAGATTATTTAAACCCATAGGGGCATTTTTTTTGTCTGATTGTCGGTAAGTTAGGACGGTGCCGAACAAGCGCATAGCAGCAAAACACATGATCAGAGGAAAATAACGCAACAGAAAAATAAAAAAAGTTAAAAAGAAAACTCACCGGAATATCAGTAATGTCTCCGACGGCAAAAATATTGCTCAAGCCGCCAACTCTAAAGTTCTCATCGACCATCAGCCTCCCATGCCTGTCCAAATACTCCTTCAGTATAGAATTCCGGAGCCAGGCAGAACCGATCGGCTTCCCCACGCAAAGAAAGTAAGAATCAGCCCTAACGATTTCTCCGGCCGACGTTTTAAACTCTCTGTCAGACTCCGAAATGGACTCTACGTCGATCGATTGCTCCAAAAGCACCTTCACATTCTTCGATTTTAGCCACTCGAGTGCTTTCGCGCTGGCTCTCTGTCCGATAAATGGCAATAGCCTCTGCCCCCTATGTACGAGGGTCAGCTTTTTGTCCGGAAAGTCCACTGCAATCTCTCCGGCGAGCTCAACGCCCGTTGCGCCGCCACCGACGATCATTATCGAGCTTGAACATATAATCTTTTGGTTATCTGGATGAGGAAGTAGCTGGAGATTAGATTACAGGGATATGCAAACAGTATTATCTTTGATTTAATTAATTTTATTATCATTATTTCCAGCACCAAATAAAATACCTTCCTGAAACTTTTCGAGCCTGTCCCTCCTGCTTCTGATTGTAGTGTAAGGATGACCGGTTGCAATGACAAGGTAGTCACAAGGCACTCTGCGTCCTTCTGCCGTCACAACCCCTTGCTCCGTTACGTCCACAGCATTGGACACAATGACCTTCCCCTTTTTCAAATAATCCTTATGGTTAATCACCGATCTTTCCGCAAACGCTGGCTCCACTCTCGATCTCAAATTCGCCCACGGAATCTCGAAGTACTCCTTTCTAATAAAAACAAAAACACAGAGAATAAGAGCGCACAATCAATCCGAATGACGAAGAAGATGATAATATGAAAACAACAGAAGATTTTGATCATTCAGTCGCGCACGCACGGGTCGATAAGAATGACATCAACGATTTGTTCAAGGGATTTAGCGAGTTGTGCGCCAGCAATGCCGCCGCCAACGATGACCACCGTCCTCTTCCTCTCAAATCCCTCCATGGCTTTAGTTTCCTTCCAAACCTTTCTGAAAGGGAAGGCAATGGACATGCGCTCGGGTAAATTGAGTGCCTTTTTTTAGGAGCGGATGCGGAGACGGACAGCGGAGATGAGATGGAGAAAATGCAAGCGGAGCTTGATTTGTTTTGTATGGTGCTCATGGCAGCAAGCGGCGTAACTTGCGCCCGGCGGCCACTTTCAGCATATCACGGGAAATAGTAGCTCCTGTCAAAAATTCTGGCATCAATAAAATATTGCCACATGTAACGGGTTCAACTCATAAAGAAATTAGAACGTGTTCTTTTTTAAATTAGCTACCCGATCGGACCTGATCATTGCTTCGAAAACAAAATAGGCTGAATCATAATATAGGTTTATTGCAGCAGAAAATAAAACTATTGCTTAGGAAGTAATATTTTTTCAAAAAGAAAATCGAACTGCGCGGCTCTACACTTTTTATTTTCATCATTTGCCATCAGTTAGGGTTTCCATTGCGTGACTTCAGTAGCTAGAGTTCACATTGTCGTTCACCGGTAGAGATATAGTTGAAGTCCCTCTTTACAACCATGTAAGTCTTGTGATGTTAAGATTTTCTTATACAAGCTCTGCGTGAGGATTTAGGATTCAGGGAGGGAACTCATCTAATTCTTTTCTTCTTTTGAAGCAAGCTGATATGCAACAATGAAAGAGAAAAAAGAAACCGAAGAGCCTAAGAAGATTGTGTTGGAAGCAGAGAAGAGCGTAAGAAGATGGAAACCGAAGAGCCAAAGAAGATGGATACGAAATAGTGTAAGAAGGAGGTCGAAGAGCTTATGAAGAAGGACACCAAAAAGCATAACAATCATCAAAGTCATCCAAGTAATTTTGTTTGTAGTTGTACTTGCATTCAAGAAAAACATTGCATCGCATAGTAATTTCGTGCATTGTTCAAATGATCCTCTGTAACACTAAAGAAAAAACAAAATCACACAACAATAACACCTTAATATCAGCTAAATAAGGCCACACTAACACTATAATAACATTTAGATAATATCAAAATAAAAAAAAAAAAGTAAAACCAAAATAACATCAAAATCGTACAACGATAACATCATAATATTAGTTAAATAAAACCACGTTAACACCACAATAACACCAAAATAACCACACTAACACCACAATAACACCAACATAATACAAAAATAACACCAAAATAGCATCATAACAACAACAAAATAATATCATAATCACATCGCAACATCACCACAATAACATCTTAAATAACACCACAATAATATCACAATATGTACTTAATAACACCATAATAATACATTAATAATACCAAAACAACACCTAAGTAACATAAAAAAAACTAAGATCAATTTTGTTGGTATTACAGTAATAATACCAAAACAACACCTAAGTAACATAAAAAAAAACTAAGATCAATTTTGTTGGTATTCTGTTATTGTGTTGATATTGTGATATTTTGTTGTTATATTCATCTTTTTGATGTATTTGAGTGGTGTTATTATATAAAACTATAGATGGCATAATGCATTTTTTGCATTATCTTTTTTTGGTAGGTTTATGAACTCAAAGTCCTTCAATTTTAGATGTCGTCCATCGGTAGTAAGTCATGTTCTTAATAAGTTTATGCCTACCACATCTGAGGAGAACAAGAATACCTTGAAAGTATTGAATGTAGATCAATTTTTTGATCTCCCTCCATATCATCAAGACAATGTCTTTACACTACACATATTGAAATGTTATGAATGAGTGGTATTCAGATTGGGCAAGAAAGAGCTAAGATTAGACCTTGATCAAGTTGTCCTGCTAATAGGCATGTCCAACAGAGGAGAAGCAACAAATTGGAGTAAAGTTCCCTCTTGTATTGTGGTTGTCAGACAAATAAGGAATTTCTTAGTGAAGGTTTCAACAAGAGAGTGTTCTACTCCCTTTGATGAATTGTTTTTGAAGTTTTCGCTATCAAATTTTTTTTTCCTTCTAGCAATTTTAGTGTGACTAAATAGTTTTACCCTTTTGGTGAGAATGTAAAATATTTCTCTTCCTTTAATTGACCTTTTGTTGTATGTGATTTCTTCACTAATCAAATGAATGTCGTAGTGATTAGAACGAGGTTGAATCTATCATTAGGATATATCGATGGATTTCTTTTTCTCGTAATAGTTAATGTCTTGTATATACCTTATAATTTTTTTTTTTGTCAATGCACATAATGACTTATCTTTTTCACATCTCTGTTTTTATGAGCACACATCTTTGGTCACTCAAGCAGCACCTGAGGCCAGACCTCACATGTTGAGGTGACCCACAAATGTGAGCTAGAACTCATCACAGTTTCATCAAGCCTGAAAGAGGCTCCGGTAAAGGTAAGTCATTTATCTCATCATATAACTTTTTTTTTGGAAAATTAGAGCTGTTAATTTTCTATTGTATTTATGTGTTATTATTTTTGTGTTGTATTTATGTGTTATTATGTAATAATTATATTGTATTCTGGTGTTATTATATTGTTATGTATGTGTTATTTTGGTGTTATTTAGGTGTTCTTATGATTGTTTTTTTTGTTATGTTATTCCAACTCCTCTAATCATAATTTTTTATTATGTTCTGGAGAGTTTTTCTTACAAATGGCATTTCTTAAGGATTGAATTTCTACTTCCAATGAGAGTACAACCACAAACCCCTAAACTAATGCAAATAGAGAAGATTTAGTTGGGGAGTTCAATATATGGTTTGATAAGCTCATAATGCTTCCACCAATTGCTCATGCCACTATCGTTTGTTTCTTTTGAATGGTTTCTTCAGGAATTTATAAAAGTTTTATTGAACGCTTTAATTAGTCCATTCACTGTGGGATATTATATAGTGAAATATATTCAATCAATGTTGTGACACTTCACAAAGTTGTTTAGCTTAGTACTCTCGAATGTAAGACCCTTGTCGAATATAACATTTTGGGGGAAAATCTAAACTGTTATATACTGTGGTGTCTATAGAAATGCAATACATAGTGAGCTTTTAATTACTTCTACAGGAGAAAGGCCTTCTATGCACTTTGAGGAATAATCAATCACTACTAGTATAAACTTTTGCCTTTGGATGAAGGAGGGACAAGATGTACCATAGATGTTTATGGTCCAACATTCAAAAGGGCAGGATTTGTTGTAGGGTTTAATACATTTGACAACTGATGCAAAACAACATTGTGTATTTGACACTGATGACATCGTCTTGTTATATCTGTACAATCATTAATAATCATTGTCCAATAATGCCCTATTATTTTCATCTTTTCTTTCATCTTAGGACTAGATTGATGAGGTCCACATAACCCTTAATGACTCACTTTAATAGTTTTCTATGCTTAGTTCTTGTTTAAGCATCATAACTACTTATGATTGAAAGACCTTCAATAAAGTTTATCATTTATGATAGTGTAAGATAGAGCTCCAAACTTCACCTAATGAGCTATTTATCTATCTTGAGGTAATTTGCCTTCTCACATAGATTCCAAAATAGATGTCTCCAAGCAACTGAGTCTTCAGTTGTGGCTACAACGATATGTTCCTTATGTTGATTAAGATACTCCATATCAACTAGAGAGAGGATCTGACAAACAAGGACTTTAATTGGTACTAATTCCTCTTCCAAGCATATTATATCTTTAACTAACTTTATCAAAACATCTGCAATGGTGTCACTTCAATGGGGCATTCGATACAAATTGAGATTAAGAATTTTTTCAAGTAAGCTCATCATATATCAGATATATTTATGAAGTCAGGGTTATAAAATCTTGTACATTCCATCAATCTGATTGATTATTAACAGTGAATCTCTGAAAACTTTATTCACTTTGATGTCCATTAGAATGATTAAGTGTGGACCGATAACTAGAGCTTTGTACTATGGTTGGTCATTAATACCTAATTTTTAGAAATGGTAGGAGAATCTCATTGTTCCTCACCTAGGGGTTATGAATATGAGTAATATCCCTACTTTTCAGGGGCTAACCACCTTTATATTGAATTCTTTCTTAACTGATAATGAACCATAAAAATAGAACTCCCAACACAATTTTTTTTAATTTCTTATTGTCAAGATATGTTCCTTAGGTAAATTATCCTTTAAATGAGTGCTAGCAGATAAAGGATGTGCTGGTATGAAATCTATTAAGGCCTGGCCTTTTGTAGCACATAAGGGAACAATAGTCATATCAAAACAATACGATCATAGACCAACGAGCTAGTCTTGCATATAGAGTTAGGCATTTGTTAAAAGTTTGTAATGGATTAAACCTACTAATAAGACTAATTTATGAGAGAGAATGTAGCACCTTAATTTTTGGATAGCAAAAATGATGGCTAGAACATGCTTTTCAATAAGTGGATAGATTATTTTGGCTTTGCTAAACCAACAACTTTAATAAAATGCATTCTTCTTGTGTGTTTCATTAGTTTACGCTATTAAGGTACCGATGGATTCATCTAAAGCAATAATCTAAAGAATTACCAACTGTCTTAGGATAGAGGCTACTAATATGAGAGGTATAATAAATTTTTTTTAAATAATTTTATGGGCTTGCTGACAAATGCCAACCCAATAGCTATTATCATTCTTATTGGATAAATCAGAAAATAGGTTGCACTTATATGTGATATTAGAAATAAAGCATCTTAGATATGTCAACCTACCCTGAAATGATCAGAGTTGAGTTAGACTTTTTGGTGGATGCATTTTTATTATCACTTTAATCTTCTTTGAAACCATTTCAATCCAATGATGTCGTACTATGTACCCTAAGATTTTCTTAGAGGTAACATCAAAGACATATTTCAAAGGATTTATTTTTAGGTCGTATAAAAGTAAGAATTCAAAATTAATTCTTAAATCATATATATAGTTTTCTCTTTGTTTACTGTTCACCACCAAGCCATCAACATAACATTCTACTTGCTTGTGGATGAGTTAACTAAATTCCTTATCATAGCTTGTTGACATGTATCACCATCATTCTTCAAGCTAAAGGGTTGTTGACCTCACTTTTGGTTGAGGTTTAGTTTTTCCTCTTTAGTAGCCTAGGGTCTAGCCATAAGACTTTTCTGTTGACTATTCCTAGAGAACTAGAAAAGGAACCCTCACCATTAGAAGTTCTAAACTCCCCTTTGCCCCTTTGCTCAACTTGAAGTCAACTTGAAGCTCTACATATTGGTCGTAACCTCTAGCACT